GTGCTTTTCAAAGTTGGGGCCAGTGCATGAAGGCCAGGAAACTACACCCACATTATTTTGCCCATTGGCTTCTTGTGCTGGCCTTGGGAGGCTGATAAGCAGTCCTTCAGGATTCCTAGGCATCCTGTGGCACCTCCAAAAACAAACCACACAGGAATGGGAATTTCCATGTGTTAGGCTGACAACTCCTTTTGCACTGTTACAAAGTATTTAAAGGTCAATGAAAATAAATTTTTTAATCCTTAACGCTAGTTCCCTATTTTGCCTATGATGTTATGCTAGAAAATGTGCTGAAAAGGTAATCAGACATAGTTCATTCTTGCTCTCAAAGACAATACTACCGATACAAAGATTAAGAATCATTACTATTATATTATACTATTATATTATTTATAATTATGGTAATAATAAATTTAGTAAATATAACAATAAAAATTATTTTTAATAATAATAATGATAACAAAATAATCATTGTAGCAATCACTTATTAAGCCCCTATTATGTTCCAGACACTGTGCTGAGCAATTTCCACATATTAGCTCTTTGAATATGATCATCAACCCTAGGAGGTAGGTAGCATTATGTCCATTTTTCAGGTGCAGAAACCTAGCTTTAGGGAGAGAAAGCAAGTTGTCCAAGGCCATATATGTAGTCATTGATGAAGGTGGGAAACAAATATTTGAAGTCCAAGATGTGGGAACACAGGAACAAGTGCACTAGACACACATGAGACAAGGACCTTTACATCACTTGAACATTCACTTAGTGGCCTTACAATGAAGGCAGTAGAGAAGCAGCAAATTCTGTTGGGATTGCTGTGTGTTATTTCATTTGGACATAGTGAAAGGGAACAGAAGGCTTAGTGGAAGATGGTATTTTTGGAGAAATCTAATGGGCTTTCTCCACCACCCGAAGGTGTTTGGGCAGATTAAAAAGGGAACTGGTGCTTCCTTAGAGGAATGACTGCCTCATGACATTTTCCACCTGCTTTTCTGGCGCTTGTCCTGTACTTTTGGCATTTCTTCGGCTCTTAGAGTCAATGAGTCAACAGCATGTTTTTAGCATTCCCTGTGTGCACTGAAGTAGACTCCAACTCAATAGGAATACTTAACTACCATGACCAAATGTGTGTGCCAGCCTTCTCTGCCAGCCAGGGCATCCGAGGTGGGGGTGGGAGGGTGGAAGAACAGAACATATAAAATTATATATAAATATATATGTAAGTCATTTTAAGTCTCGAAATCACTCAAGGGTTTATATTTCTTTAATATGTTTTTATTGATTTCAGAGAGAGGAAGGAAGAGGGAGAGAGATAGAAACATCAATGATGAGAGAGAATCATTGATTGGCTGCCTCTTGCACGGCCCCTACTGGGAATCGAGCCCACAATCTGGGCATGTGCCCTGACCAGGGAATTGGACAGCGAACTCCTGGTTCTTGGGTTGACACTTAACCACCACTGAACCACACCAGCCAGGCTCAAGGGTATATTTTTTAATTGGGCGATTTTACCTGCTCCCTTTTGAAATTCTAGTAACTTTCTTAATAGAAACCTGACAGAAATTAATCTTTTAACAGTGCTTCATGAGTAGAATCATTCAATGATTCCCTTTTTATCTGGAAGGGACCTGAAAGATCTAAAGTGTTTCATAGAATATTAATGTCCTTGATCTGTTTTGGAAAAGGGCCCCATAGATAAAATTTGGAAAATCTGGGTTAAAGTTGAGTATTCTTTCCTATGGAACTTCAGTCTTTAATATGCTAATGTGCTTTGTGAATCTATAGGATAGGGGATAAAATATGTAGTGTTTTAACACTTATTTTACCCTAAATTCTCTTTTTGGGAAATGCTGATCTTGCGAGAGAGATAGAAACATCAATGATGAGAGAGAATCATTGATTGGCTGCCTCTTGCACGGCCCCTACTGGGAATCGAGCCCACAATCTGGGCATGTGCCCTGACCAGGGAATTGGACAGCGAACTCCTGGTTCTTGGGTTGACACTTAACCACCACTGAACCACACCAGCCAGGCTCAAGGGTATATTTTTTAATTGGGCGATTTTACCTGCTCCCTTTTGAAATTCTAGTAACTTTCTTAATAGAAACCTGACAGAAATTAATCTTTTAACAGTGCTTCATGAGTAGAATCATTCAATGATTCCCTTTTTATCTGGAAGGGACCTGAAAGATCTAAAGTGTTTCATAGAATATTAATGTCCTTGATCTGTTTTGGAAAAGGGCCCCATAGATAAAATTTGGAAAATCTGGGTTAAAGTTGAGTATTCTTTCCTATGGAACTTCAGTCTTTAATATGCTAATGTGCTTTGTGAATCTATAGGATAGGGGATAAAATATGTAGTGTTTTAACACTTATTTTACCCTAAATTCTCTTTTTGGGAAATGCTGATCTTGCTGAACCAGCTAGTGTTTTCTCTACATGAAGGTGCTGGCTGACACCTTTTTTTTTTTTGAGAGCAAGGAAGTCCCAAGGGAAAGGGAGGACATATCAGATGCTCCTGTTTCATGCCAAGAATTCTCAGTGAGATGCCTTTCTCTAGACTAGAGGCTCAGAGAAGGCTGAAAGGCATCTCTAGGCAAACAGAGCTGCCCTTCATTGTGACCCATGCTGCCAAGAGCTCTGAGTCAGTTCAAAGGGGTGACCAGTCCCTAGAAGCAGGAAAATGTATTTATCCCTGACCTAGCCCACCGAGGACACACAAATGGGAAGGACGATGTCACCACTGTAGTCACAAAGGTAGTCTGAGTCTCTTTCCTTAAGCAAACTGGTCTTGTGAATTTAGGTTGGGAAGCACGAATTTTAAAAAAAGTTAAACTAATGTCTTTTCTGTGGGACCTCTCAGAGCTTTGAATATGAAAATGTGCATTGTGAAGCTCCAAGAATGGGGTAGAATGTGCAGGATTCTAAAAAGTTACTTAGCCATGAAATTCTTGTTTTGTGCAGTATTTGGTAGGCACTCATGTTCTGAGGAAAACCCTTCGAGAAACACTGATCTAATCTGACCTTCTCATGTTACCAGTGAGCAACTATGGGCAAGACATTTCTTATCTATGGGGCCCTCTCAGGTCCATTCTCTATCACTGTGACAAATTTATTAAAATTAACTGGACCAAATTTGGAGGTAGCTTTGAAGATATTTCTTTAGTTATAAAACTTTCTTTTGTTTCAAGGGCAAATTGCTCTATATATCTTTAGTTCCCATTGTCAAAGCCTACAGATTAATTCCACTAATCTTTATAAAATATCACCTATGCCCCAAACCCTTTAAGTGCAGTGGTGGTCTACAAATATATAGACCGTAATTCTTGCTATACATTAATAATGATAAATGCAACATTTATGGCAATAATATAAACACCTAACATTTGTCCAGCACTGTACTAAGTATTTTAATCCTGCCAACAATTTATGAGGTAGGGATTATAATAATGCCCATTTTGCAGTGAGGACACAAGGTGAGGAGAGGTTAGGGGATTATTCCAACGTCACATACAGCTAGAGGTGAGAAGATATACGCAGAAAGGTATAGCAACATGGGAAACATTCCTTATTAGTGATACAAAGTGCTATGTGAATTCAGAGAAAAAAATAATTTTCAAAAGACTTGATCAGTGAAAGTGTGAAGGATGTGGTGAACAATTGTGTTTTGGTCATCCATTTCTCTTCCCTCTGGAGCAGTGGTCGCCAACCAGTGGTCCGTGGTCTGTGGACCACTGGTGGCCCGTGAGGTCCAAAAGGTTGGTGACCGCTGCTCTGGAGCATAGCACCTCCTTCCTTTGGAGGAACCGTTTTCCCTTTCACTTTGGGGTTCTTTTCTGGTAATATAGTTGGGCACATTCCCTTGTGCTGGGCCAATCCTAGTCTTTGGGAATTTGGGGGTTTGAATAAAGAAAAGTGACTTTCCTCTTGACTGGTAAAACTGCAAAGTCTTGTGTGAGATGTGCCTGACTTGTCTTTAGTCCGGTGGAAGGAGCTGAGCTTTGTTGGGACAGGATGATGGAGATATCAAGACTGAGGCAGGTGCTGAAAGTGGAGAGATGAAGTCCTGGAGGTCTTTTGGGCAACTGTAGGTTTGGGGGCTATGTCTTTACTGGGGTAAAGGCCTTACCACCTTCTCTTCTCCTGGGAATAATACTGTCCTTCTTTGCAAAATGAAATGTTATTAGAAAGTGATTTAAAACCCCCATATTATAGAGATATGCACAGATCCTTAGAAGGGTTGAGGTCTGTCTGGTGCTAAGCCAAGGCTCCTTCAACCACAAATTCATTGGAATGGACTCTAAGGTTTTATCTTTTTAGTCTGTTCTTTATTTACTCCTATTTTCTATGGGATATTTCTTGGTTTTGGATTTCAGGTGAGCTTTAAGGAGACGGGACAGACCATCTCTAGCCCCTGCAGAATGAGAGGATCCCTGGAAAGGACCTAACAGTTCCTAGTACCCAGTCCTTATTTAATTTGAGTTTGTTCATTCATTTCTGGTAGGATATTAAAAAGAGCTCAGCAATATGGGCAAATACAGTGTAGGACAAGCCTGTTTCTAAGCATGAGCTGGGCTAGCAAGGGTGGGAAGGTCAAGAAGAAGAAAATGTGTGTCTGTGTTGCTGCTGTTGCAACTAGCACAGGAAGAAATGTTTTCACACTGAAATGTGGGCTATCTGGAGATAGCCAGGGGAAAAGTGTTGATGGCTGGGCGGGCCCTGCTGGATGGAAGGGCCTGACAGTATGTGATTCCCTGCAACAAATGGTAGTGGTGGAGGGTGTGTACACACAAACACACACACACAGCACCCAGCCTCCAATTTCATCTCTGGCAGAAGATAACAATTCTCAGCTTGCCTTTCCAGGGTTATTTTTGGCTAGGGCTGTTGCTGATGGCAAAAGTTTCAGTCCCCCCACCCCACCCCCACCCTGCCTCCCTCCCTAGTCCTTGTTACAGCGAGAAACTTGTGCGAGTAAACTGCTCACTCCCAGAGGACGAGGAGACAGGGTTGTTGGTGAAAGTGGAGAGGATCCCAAATCCTCCTCCAGGCCTCACCACCCCCGGGTTATTTTCTAGCGGAGGTGGGCCCCGGAGACAGTCCATTGCTGGGGAAGGCTTGGGTCAGACACAAGAATAGGAGCCGCCAGGGGACGGGGTAGCTGGCACTGGGAACAGGTTTTGGGGACAACACCCCGAAAGTGAGTGCAGCTGGGGGAAAAAACTGCGGCCCCCTAGGGCCATCCAGCTGGAGAGGAAGTTTGTTGGAAGGTAGAGGGGCCGCTTGGAGAGGATCCACCGGTAGGTGCCGCGGGAGGGCGCAGGCTGCAGGCGGCTCGGGGAGGGGGCCGGGGCGCGAGGCGGAGTTCGGGCGCGCCGCCAGGTTGGTGGCCCCCCCTATCCCCCGGGCTGCAGATTCCCTCCGGCTCCCGGGAGCCGCGGCAGGACCGGACAGGAGCCGCCATGGAGGGAAGCCCCATCCCGGTGCTGACCGTGCCAACGGCACCCTATGAGGACCAGCGGCCCACTGGGGGAGGGGGGCTGCGGCGGCCCACCGGGCTTTTCGAGGGCCAGCGCAACTACCTGCCCAACTTCATCCAGAGCGTGCTGTCGTCCATCGACCTGCGCGATCGCCAGGGCTGCACCATGGTGGTGGGCAGCGACGGCAGGTACTTCAGCAGGACGGCCACGGAGATCGTGGTGCAGATGGCTGCGGCCAACGGGGTGAGTTACCTGGTCGTCCCTCGCTTCCCGCTGCTGTCCCAGGTTTTCGCCCGCGCCTCCTTCTGCCTGCCGGCTTGGCACTCTCCTAGCCCGGGTCCTTCCCCGCAGTGTCCCACCACCGCCACTCTCCACAGCCTCCCTGGTGCACCCAGGACATTGTCCTATTTGCAGTCATCTTCTTCCACCCTAAAGTTTGGGTCTGCCAAATTTAACAGTAGTGTTGTCTCAGAGCACACAGCAGTGTTGATCCCTGACATATTTGGCAAGTTCAAACGGTGAAGGTTTTTAATATCGGTTCATGAACCCAGTGAAATTATTTTATGATTAATTTGATTCGGATGGAAATGGGGTAGGGATCAATTTGATGCTATGCAGCCTGGGCTCAGTTTCCTGGATACATCTTTAAATGGTCAGAAATAGATTTGCAATGCCGTTCTTAAAGCAATTCCCAACTTCTCTCCAAGATGCCCTTTGGCATTTGACCACATTTCATGCCTTTTCTCCCTTAGCGTTTCATCCTCATTTCCTCTCCATTCTCTCACGACCTCTGCAGCCTTCTTTTGCAATTGGAATTCTCAGACCCCCCTGCCCCCCTTCCCTTCTCCCTCCTTCCTTGATATCCTACTACTAGAAGCACCGGTTGCTATATCCTCATATCCCTATTTTCTTCCCAGTCCAGCGGCCTCTCAAGGACTTTTACAAGAGAGATAACTTTCACAAGAGATCTCTGAATTCTATATGGGAAACATTGTATTAAAGAGTAATTTCAGCTTTGTTAATGTGGTCAGACCCACACACATAGAACTTTCCTTTAAGTGAAATCTCTGCAGTTGTATGGGTGCGAACATTTAAAAAAGTGAAACTAAACAATTGTCTGGCATTTGGATTCCTTCCTTCCTTCCCCACTCCCCACCCCATTGTGTGTGTGTGTGTGTGTGTGTGTGTGTGTGTGTGTGTGTGTGTGAGAGAGAGAGAGAGAGAGAGAGATCGCCAGTGAGATTTGTAGTTGTTCATGCTTCATGTTTGTCTACTATAATTTCCCCTTCCCAATGCTTCAGGGATGAGGAAATAGTTTTTTTAAAAAATAACCAAAACCAATTGGGAGAAACAGGGCCAAAGAGTGAGTTGGGTTGTGGAATTGTGATTTCCAACCCTTAGCAGACAATGATGCTGGAGATAAAAGACTTGAATTTCTCTCTGGCTCTCACTTGGGATTGGTGAAAATTGGCTAGAATCAGGGATTTGCAAAGAGGTTGACAAATGGTCTTTTACTCTTGCCTGACAAAGCTGTTCCTGTGGAATGATGGAGAATAATGAGCCTTGGGAGAGCTATGGCAGCTTTCATACTCCTTCCAGTTTTTTCCAGGGATGAGAGAAACATAGCCTGTCCAATATTTATTGTGGGTCAGGATATTTTTGAAGCTTATAGTTGTTGATTTGCATGGGCAAATTATTATGCTTTATTATTTCTTGGCACACTTTAAGGATGCTTCAACCTCTTAATACAGTGGTTTCTCTGGTAAACACATTTTATTAACTTTGAACAAAGTTTATTTTAGGCGATAGTTAGCATAAGCTAATATATGCTTAAAATAGAGTTAAATGTAACCTCACAGTGGTTTTGAAGAATCCATATAGAAGTCCATCTCTTAAATATTCTGAAAGGACTACTTCTAAGGCAGGTGGACATGGGTGAAGAGAATGGTGGCTATTTATCAAAATTTCAAACAGCTCATTTAAACCGATCTTATCCTTATTTTGTTCAGTTCTTGGGGACTTTTGCTAAAGCGAAGTGAATAATCAGAAGGCTGGCTTCTGGGAAAGGCAGTTTTGATAACTGTAAGCAAAATTGGTCTTGAGTAATTGCAAATTGGTGGGAATGGACTTGTCTCCTAATTTGGACTGTTGAGTTATATTTGGGAACGATGAACTTTGATTCCAAATGCTTTGACCTTTTTTGATTTCTTATGAAATATTCAATAAAAGGCTAGAAAATAGTAGAAAAATAGAGTTTCTTTTTTTCATTCTGACTGGAATCTGACGGGGGGGGCTGCATTCTCTCTATCTGAAAAATCTTGGTTTTTATTAAAAATGCTAATTTTACAAAACAATTTTTTATAAAAAAGCAAAAACTTTAGTTCTTTGATTATGTAACTGATGGAGGAGAACAGAAGTTTGGAGTTTATAAAATGATAAACTACATTACCAATGTTTTAATATCTCATAAACTTTGAAATGGATTCTCAGATATATCCCTGTACAATTTGGGATTTCCCATTTTTATTATAAAATTGTGAAATTCTTAAACTTTTGGAAAAGTAGAGAGACTAAATAATGACATTCATATGCCCATACCCTAAATTGTTAACATTTTTTTCTATACTTATTTCATCACTTTAGGGAGTAAAGTATTTTAAAGTATACTAAAGAAAATTACATTTTACCTCTAAATTCTTTAGTATGGATCTCTAAAAAAAAGGAGAACATTTTCTTTGACAATTACACTTTCATTCCAAACAAAATAAAAAGTGATTTCTTTGTATCATTTATTACCAAGCCCACATTCAGATTTCCTCACTTATTTTAAAATGCTTTTATAGTCGGTTTGATCAAATTGGTTTATTCTAATCAATAAACACACATTGCATTTGGTTATTTGTCTTAAGTCTCTCTTAACCTAGAAAATATTTCCCTCTTTATTTTTATTTTGTTAATGAAAATTACTTGTTGGAGAGACTAGGCCAGTCAATTGTCCTATAAAATCTCCCCTCTCAGCCCCCCCCCCCCCTTTTTGGAATTTTTTATTTATTTCTTGATGGTGTCATTTAACTTTTTACTATATTAATTTGTTACTATACAAATTTACTATATTAATTTGTACTATATTTTATTTGTTTGTTGAACTAAAAATTAGTTGCAAAAGCTTAATTAGATTCGGGGTCAACAATTTTTTTACAAGAATATTTTATACATGATGATATATGTTCATGTGTATCACATTAGGAAACATAATCTCTGGTTGTTCCATTATTCGTGAGGCTGAAATGATTACAGGGTTATTGTGGTGATTGCCCGTAGCTTCTATTATATCCCGCCTTGGGACTAGCAAGTAGCCTATAGAGTGAACTAAGTACCATGTAAATATTTGTTTCCTTATCAACTTTCATCCATTTGTTTTAACATCCAGGAGTGATCCTGGCTTGAGTAAATTGTTTCATTAGGGATTTCAAAATGTTGATTTGCTAATTCTCCTATTCCTCCTGCATGTTTTAGTTGGCATTTTACTATAGATTGGGGCAGTTTCCTCACAACCGGGCCATTTAGTTATCCTGTAATAGAGTTCCCTCTGGAAAGCAGAATTTATATTTATTTCTCTCTTTACATCACCAGTTTTCATAGTAAGATTTGGTGAAACAGCAACTTCCATTGTTGTACATGACTTTTGTTTTGTTTTGCTTTCACTTTTTTAACTATTGCTATGGATACCTGGATTTTTATAGAATCAATTTGAATGGATTTGTGAGTGAAAAGGTACTTCTTTACCTGTTTTTGTAGTCTTTATGTGGCTATGTGAATATACCTAAAAATCTCCCTAGAAGTATTTTAATTCCCCTTTAAAAATACAAACAATGTCATACTAAAAAAGAAAAATAATTACTAAGTACAAAGAGTAAATTGTATCATTTAAATGAATTATGACTAAACTTAGTTTGTAACTAGTTGATTTTTTATTCTCTTTCTATTCCCATCTGCTTCAGATCCTCTTTAGGGGTTTAGATTCTCTATATACCAATTTATTCTAATCTCTTATGAGTTCAAGAGCTAAATACAACATAATGGCTACAAGAATGCCTTTGCCCTTCTCTGGGTAGATCCATCTAGCTAAGAGCATTCTCTCTCTCTTTCTCCTGTGTTATAATCTTTTTTTTAGTCCCAAACTACCTTTATTATTGGACAAATTAATAAAGCCCTGTATCTGCCTCAAGATCTTTCTGACTTTTTATAAAGTCTTCTCTCTCTGGAAATGACATTGTATATCAGCACTGTCCAGTAGAACTTTCTGTGATGATGGAAATATTCTGTAATCTGCACTGTCCTGGCCACTAGCCACATGTGGCTATTGAACACTTGAAATGCACCCACTGAAGAACTGAATTTTACATTTAATTTAATTAATTGAATTTTAACTTTAAATAGTCACAAGTGGTTAGTAGCTACCATACCAGACAGTGCAGCTCTATAACTTAACATTTAAAGTGTGTGTGTGTGTGTGTGTGTGTGTGTGTGTGTTTAATGGAGCCAGAGTATTACAGTCAAAGCAATTATAGGTTAAGTAAAGGTAAGTCATCAAATACGACAAATACATATTTGGCAAACCCAAACCAGACGATAGCCTAGGAGATAATGAGGTTTGGTAGAGAAAGCATTGTATCAGCATCTGGAAGTCTCCCCTTGATTTCCTACCTCTGCCTTGCAAGTTACAGGACAAATGCTTTAGCCTCTCAAAATACCTAGAAACCCCTTGTTTCTTCCTCTATAAATTTGGTATGACAGCATCACTGAATTATCCTGGGAGTCAGATAACGCACTGCATAGGAAAGCATTTAGAAACATCCATAGCACTAAGATATTTAGTGGAGTATTATTAAGGTCAACCAAATACATCTCAGATAATAATAATCTGAATGCATGTATTGAATAAACCATGCAATGGGCCCCTTTGAAAACAATTTATATCTCTTGTTTCATGTTTTAGTCAAGAGAAAATCCACTTGTTGACTAGCCATATACAGTATTGGGCATATGATGATCAGCAGCAACAACAACATTATTATCGAGTTACAGCATTCAAGAGCTTCTTAATTCCTTTTGAAACCCTTTTGAGGTGGAAGCTGAAGTGCAAGGGCATGAGGAAAGCTGGGTCAGAAAGAGACTTGGGTGTGCCTTCCAGCTAAGATGCTTGCACAGGTTATATTTGATTCTAACAGAACATGAAAAGG